AGCAGCAGCAGCAGCAAGAACAAAGGCAGCAACAGATTGCCAAGCTTTTGAGTTTATTGAAGGGTCTCTTCTTTTTCTGTTTCCGCTGCGGAGACATCTCCATTTGCTGCTGCTACTCATCACGCACGTCGCAGCAGCAGCAGCAGCAGCAGCAGCAGCAGCAACAGCAGCAGCAGCAGCGGCGGCGGTTGTGTTGCTGCTGCGGCCTCATTCTCTAGGTAGACGAGGAGGCTTTTTTCTTTTTTTATAACACTCAGAGCAGCAGCAGCAATTCGCGTGTCTGTGCAGCAGCAGCAGCAGCAGCAGCAGCAGCAGCAGCAACACCAGCAGCAGCAGCAGCAGCAGCAGCAAGATGGCAGCAGCACACGAAGACTTCTTCAACGGCAGAGGCAGCGAATTCGACTTGGTGCAGCAGGATGATTTCCTCCTCGATAATGTAGAAGCAACGCAGCAGCAGCAGCAGCAGCAGCAGCAGCAGCAGCAGCAGCTGGAGCAGCAAGCGGACGAGCAGCAGCAGCAGCAGCAGCAGCAGCAGCAGCAGCAGGATGCTGATGTATTCCTTAACAATGGAATTGAATTCCCCTCCACAGCCAGCCAAACGGAAAACCATAAGAGAGAGGACCTGCAGCAGCAGCAGCAGCAGCAGCAACAGCAGCAGCAGCAGCAGCAGCAGCAGCAGGAGTTTGAAATCCCCGGGTCTCAGGCTGTATATATGAGCTCTGAGGCTCTGGCGGAGCAGGAGCAGCAGCGGCAGCAGCAAGCTGTGCTGCAGCAGCAGAAGCAGCAGCTGCAGCAGCAGCTGCAGCAGGAGATAGATGCAAGGCGGCGTGAGGATGAGCTGCTGCAGCAGCAGCAGCAGCAAACAGCAGATGAGGAAATAAAGGAATTCTATAAACAGAGAGAGAAACACCTAGAAAGACGAAAGGCACAGCTCAAGTATACTGCTGCTGCTGCTGCTGCTGCTGCTGCTGCTGCTGCTGCTGCTGCTGCTGCTGCTGCTCTTGGTTGTGGTTGTGGTGGTGGTGCTGCTGCTGTTCCTTGTGTTGCTGCTGCTGTTGCTGCTGCTGCTCTTGGTGTTGCTGCTGTCTCTCGTGCTGCTCCTCTTGTTGCTGTTGCTGCTGCCGCTGCACTTGCTGCTGCTGCTGCACTTGCTGCTGCTGCTGTTTTTGCTGCTGCTGCTGCTGCTGCTGCTGCTGCTGCTGCGTGGGTTACTTGTCTCCACTGTGCTGGCTTTAGCAGTCCTTTGTTTGCTGCTGCTGCACCTGCTGCTGCTGCTGCTGCATCTGCATCTGCTGCTGCTGCTGCTGCTGCTGCTGCGCTGTATTGTGTATATGTGCTGCAGGGCGAAGGCAGCAGCAGCAGCAGAAAAAGACAAAACGAATTGCGGCAGCAGCTGGGCGCGGGTGCTGTGGCTTGTGAACAGCAGCAGCAGCAGCAGCAGCAAGACCAGCAGCAGCAGCAGCAGCAGCGCAGCAGCAGCAGCAAAAGATAAGGATCGCCCTGAGATGGGGCGGATGGGGAGGCTGCTTGTTGAGCTAGCGGGAGAGGCCTCGATGCACTGAGCAGCAGCAGCAGCAGCAGCAGCAGCAGCAGCAGCAGCAGCAGCAGCAACAGCAGCAGGAGCAGCAACAGTTGCTGCTGCTGCAACAGAAGCAGCAGCTGCTGCAGCAGTAACTGCAGGAGCAGCAACTGCAGCAGCTGCAGCACCAGTCAGTATTTGCTGCAGCAGAAACAGCAACAGCAGCAGCAGCAGCAGCTGCTGCTGCTGCTGCAGTAGCAGTAACACAGTTGCTGTTGCTGCTGCAGCAGAAACCTGCTGCTGCAGAAAGTGCAACAGCAGCGGCAGAAACAGCAACAGCAGCAGCAACAGCAGCAGCAGCAGCAGCAGCAGCTGCTGCTGCTG